GGAGGAGGAGGAGGAGGAGGAGGAGATTGGATTTATACCCTGCCCTTCACTGGGAGTCACAGAATGGCTTACAATCTCCTTCCCTTCTTTTCCCCACAACAGACACCCTGTGAGGTAGGTGGGGCCGAGAGAGCTCTGAGAGAACTGCTCTGGAGAGCGCAGCTCCAAGAGAACTTAAGAACATAACATAAGAACATAAGAGAAGCCAATGTTGGATCAGGCCAATGGCCCATCCAGTCCAACACTCTGTGTCACACAGTGGCCAAAAATACCAGGTGCCATCAGGATGTCCAGCAGTGGGGCCAGGACACCAGAAGCCCTCCCACTGTTGACCCCCCCCCCCAGCACCAAGAATACAGAGCATCACTTGCCCCAGAGTCCCTATCTATACCTTGTGGCTAATAGCCACTGATGGACCTCTGCTCCATACGTTTATCCAATTGCCTCTTGAAACCGTCCATGCTTGTAGCTGCCACCACCTCCTGTGGCAGTGAATCCCATGTGTTAATCACTCTCTGGGTGAACAAAACTTGTGGTCTCCAAGGTCACCCAGCAGCTGCATGTGGAGGAATGAGGAAATCAAACCTGGTTCTCCCCAGATCAGAGTCTGCACACTTAACCACTACACCAAACTGTCTCAGGAACTCTATGGTCAGAACTTCCAGTGAGTGGCTGATGCCTTATTTTTTTAAAAGACAAAATCTCCCAGAACTCTGCCTGTCCCCACACCCCTTCCACTGGTTGTCACACACCGCTTGGAAATCCTAGATGGGGGTGTAAAGGTCTGATCCGTTGCAGACTGCCAGTCGCCCAGCGGCATCCATCACAACACAGCCCACTAATGGAGTGTTTTGTCGTGAGCATCCCATTAGGCAGACAGCGGCGAAAAGTCAATCGAGAATCGCCGCACAGATCAAGTGAGCGAAGCAGGCAGGGTCCAAACAAACAGCCCTTTTCTAACGAAGACCCAGAAATTCTTTCATTTGGTGCAGCGAAAAGACAATCGAGAATCGCCGCACAGATCAAGTGAGCGAAGCAGGCAGGGTCCAAACAAACAGCCCTTTTGTAATGAAGGCCCAGAAATCCTTTCATTCGGTGTAGCGAAAAGACAATCGAGAATCGCAGCACAGATCATGTGAGCGAAGCAGGCAGGGTCCAAACAAACAGCCCTTTTCTAACGAAGGCCCAGAAATGCTTTCATTTGGTGCAAGGCAGTATTTCGCTTAAGATTAAAAAAAAAAAAAAAAGACTGGCAAACAACGGAGAGAGGCTTCGGTCTGAGCGAGGCATCAGAAACCAGCTGTTCACAGAGGTTCTCATAAGGGAGCAATCCCCCCACACCAATCTCTTCGATTTAGAAAATTAGCAGACAGTGGGAAGAGTTCTAGCTTAACGTTCTTCCGCTTGATATAATTGTTTTCTGTGTGCAAGAATGTCTTTCCTGGGGGAACATGTCATCATCTCTGCCTCTGCCGACAGCGTAATGCGTTCGAGAGGCAGGTTTACCACCTCAATGGAAACCAGGGGCCTAAGTGGAAGCTCACAGAATGGAACATTCCCTAATTAGGTCGGCTGCAGCAGAGGACTGTTTGCTGGTGCACCCTCTCCAAATGTTAAAGCCAAAGGAGCAGGCAGTTAATTGGCAGCAATTATGCTCTCCACAGATCTGCTCTCTCTCGTCGGGCAGACAGCGGGACGGGTTCTGCAGTCGCTCCTTAATCCTTCATGTAGCGTGATCCAAAAGTCAAAAAGAGAAGGGGAGGGGAAGCGGGTCTAACACCATCTTACTTACCCAAACCCCAGATTGTCTAGGAACGGCCCAAGAGGGCTGACAGGCTGTGCCTAGCAACCAGAGAGAGGAGATTGGATTTATACCCTGCCCTTCACTACCCAAGGGAGTCTCAGAGCGGCTTACAAACTCCTTTCCCTTCCCCTCCTCACAGCAGACACCCTGTGAGGTAGGTGGGGCTGAGAGAGCTCTGACAGAAACTGCTCTTTCAAGGACAACTCTGCCAGAACTATGGCTTGCCCAAGGTCATCCAGCCAGGTGCAAGCGGAGGAGTGGGGAATCAAACCCGGTTCTCCCAGATTAGAGTCCGCGAACTGAACCAAACTGAAGAGGACGGGGACATTGGAGGTGCTGGCAGTGGAAGTGTTTATTTGTTTATATTTATACTAGGAAAAAGGCCCATTGTGGAAATAAATACAACGGCCTCTAGAAAGAGGCTCTGGGTGGGTGCCCCGGCCTTGGACACTCAGTGTCAATTTGCTGTGGCAACCTCAGCAGGGTATAATGACACTGAGTCCACCATTTTCTCCAGAGAAACTGATCTCTGCTACCTAAAGAACAGTTGTGAGTGGTCTCCAGCCCCCACATGGAGATTGGCAACAATGGTTCCCCAGAAGGGAATAGTTGGTTTGGAGGGTGGAGTCTATGGCTTTGTACCTGTCCGAGATCCCATGCCTCCTGAAACCTCACCCTCTCCAGGCTCCATCCCTCACCTCTCCAGGAATTTCCCACCTGGAGTTGGCAACCCTATCTTCTTCCCAGCCAATCATCAACCTACCTACCTTTATTTCCCCCTCACTCTTCAGCTTTCCACCCCACACACACCTGCAGCCTCTCCCGTGCTCTGAAGCCCTGACTGCTACATCACATTGGCTGTCATACGGGGGCCACCTCAGCAGCATATAAGGATACAGAGCCCACCATTTTCTCCAGGGGAACTGATTTCTGCCATCTGGAAAGCAGTTGTAATTCTGAGTGATCTCCAGCCGTCGCCTGGAGATTGGACACATTTTACCTCAGAACAGCAAAACTGGTTAGAATGTTAGAGGCAAAAGCCAATCAAGTTGCATATGCAAACGACCTCCGTGTTCCAAGGCAAAAGCCAATGAGGCTACATATGCAAAAAACCTCTGTGTTCTGACTGGCTATGGGGGGGAGAGGAACAGCAGACTGCTTAGAATGTTGGAGGCAGGATTCAGGCAAAGCAGCCAGTGGACAGAGAGACCCTCTGAATGGCAGATCAGAGAGCGAACTGATTTTGGAGCGTGTGGAATGTTCTAGAGAAGTGCCACCACCATTCGGCTCTTATTTACAAGGGAGAGTCCGCCCTCCTCACATAGCAGGCTCAGGAAAGGTTCCGAGCACATAGATCTGCGAATAGTGCAGATTTACAATTAAAACATATCCATACAGCTACTATTAAAACCCACTAAATCACTGAACACTAAAAAACATACAATGTGCCTCAGCACCCTATGGGTGGGGGGACGACAAATTAGTGAACTGTAAATAAATTCAACTTTAGAATGGAAAAGGGATTTCCGGAATGAGAGACAATGTACTTTACCCCAGCCGATTAAGGTAAACCCCCACAGGTATTTGGTGTCTGAAAAGAACGCCACGAAGATCAAGCTGTGCAGATAGAGGCCTTCCACCAGGATCCAGTAGTAGTTGGTCGCCAAGAAGTAGATAAACATCACCACGGTGATCTTGCATCCCACCTGTCAAATCGATCCAAAGGTAAGCAAGCCTTCGCCATCGTTTGGGGCATTAAAGCTGTGTGGCACTATCCTTGCAGACTGGAACTGAGTCTTTCACTTTCAAGTAAGTGCGACATCAAAGCAAAGAATGGACAGGATTTCATGTTAAGGACGGAGAAGGCTGCTGGTAGATGTGTAACAGGGTGATATATGACGCTATAGTGATACTTAAAGAATTTACATGAGCATATCTGTCGATTCTTTAACACAATTTTTTAAAATGAAGGTATCGAAATTCAACTTTTAAAGTACAGAATACAAAAAAACAGAAGAACGTCCAAAAATAAGCTTATTCTAACAAAGTTTCCGGGTAATGCGTTTGTTTCCAAGGTCTTCACCAGAGAAGGATGATTATAACTGCACAGCTGTTTTCATTTCAACATTTCATTGTAGCTGATGTTACTAACACCTTCTAGGGTTGCCAGGCCACGGCGGGGGATCCGCACGTCTTCACAGGATCCCTGCCGCGGGGGACAGCGATACGCGTTGCACCGCTGTCGCCAGGATGTGACGCTACGCGTTGCTCTGGCAACGGGACTCCAAACAGCCCCGTTGCCAGAGTGACGCGTAGCGTCACATCCTGGCGACGGCAGTGCAACGCGTATCTCTGTCCCCAGCGGCAGGGATCCTGTGAAGACGTGCGGATCCCCCGCCGCAGCTTGGCAGCCCTAACATCTTCCTGACACTCACTCTAAGATATGCCTTGTATAGTTATATGCTTTATGAAGATTATGGAGTGTTGATTTTTCAACTTGACTTGACTAGTCTTGACAGTCTTTAGAAATGAAAGCTGGCCTGGAGAAAAACTGCCTCCTGACCCCAAAGTGGCAATCAGCATTTCTCTGGGCATGTAAGAAAGGGCCATGAGAACTAAGCCCTGGTGTCCCTGCCTAAGTAATATCCAAAGGAGACTACTACAGTGCATTCCTTGTACGGCTCCCTAAAATAAGGATTTGGAAATTAATGCAGGTTTAGAATACGGCAGGCCGATTATTAATTGGCATTCAGAGTACTCATCGTGTTGGAACACCTTCACTGGCTTCCATTTTATTTCTGGGTGCAATTCAGACTTCGGCCCAAGTTATGGGAAAACGCCCTCGTATATTTTAAGGGTCACTCCCGCAGCGGCGAGCGGAGAAGCCGGAGTAAGCGAAGGAGAAAAATACTTACATACTGGGACTTGTCTAAGACGGGAGCCACTATAACGCTCCGGAGGTCTCCCATGAGCAGAGAGTCCAGCTCTTTCACGCCAACCTGAGTGTGGACGACTTTGTCTTTGATAAAGATGCTGGTCGCTCGGAGCATGAAAGAGACAAACAGGTGCAGGTGGATGTAATTCCGGGTGCAGTGAAGCCTCCTGTTGGGGGTGAGAAGAGAATAAGGAGAGCCCTTGGTCCTAGGCTTAAAATTCAACTTAGCTCAGTATCTGGAGATCCCCTGCGAGCTTGGTGTCTCTAGCACACTGGGGTGGGAGTGGGGACTTCTACTGCACAACAAACCTCACAAACAGAACCAGTTTATTTGGCCCTTAAAAGTTTGTCATGGTTTGTGGTTCGCGAATCTGGCACACCATGAACCACAAACCAAGCCAAACTGCATTTTCCCAGTTTGTGCCCATCCCTAGCCACCTGGCAGGAAACCGAATTATTTGTTACAAATTAGGGTTGCCAGCCTCCAGGTGAGATCTGGAGATCTCCAGGAATTACAGCTCATCTTCAGGCTACATAAATTTCTTCTCCTGGAGAAAATGGCTGCTTTGGAAAGGTGGACTGTCTGGCAGTAGACCCTACCGGGGTCCTGCCCCTCCCTAAACCCCACCCTCCCAAGATCTGCCCTCGAATCCCCGGGTATTTCCGAATCCAGAGCTGGCAACCCTAATCCCCATTAAATATGCCATCACGAGGGAAAGGGTGTGAGCACCTTGGAAGCAGGAGGCACTTCAGAGTTTTCTACAGTCCTTATGAGTCTCCGAGCATCCGGATTCTGGAGTGGGGAATCACTCACCTGAAGTAGCCGATAATGAAAATTGCCACCGCCAAGGAGGTGAAGGAGACGGAGTAGCCAACAGTGTACATGATATAGAGGCGTTCAAAAAACTCCCTCTGGAGAGAAAACAAGAACAGCAAGACATGTAGGATAGTGTATTCACTCGGGTGTGCAAATCATCCAGGTCTAAAATATGGAGTTTTGCTGAGTCTTAAACTTTTGATTTTCAAAGCCGGGCTGGCATGGCACCAATGGATTTAATCTAAGGCCTTTAGAGATGTCACAGGGGGTTACCAGGTCCCTACTAGGGCTGAGGTGTGTGAGTAATTTTTTTTTAATTTTTCCAAGACATACATAACATAAAATGAGGGTATCTATTACCTCCTTAAAAGTTACTTACTTACAATCTCGTCCTTTAGCCAAACATTAATTTGAATATTTCACCTTGTATCACTGTATATTTATTTTGCAAACACATAACAATAAAGTTCTGTATATCCTAAAAAAAAAAAAAGGCGTCTTATGTTTGTTGTTTTATTTGTTTTATCCTTCCATCCATTTATAAAATCTTGACTAAGTGCTTTCAAAAATTTCCTCTGGTTGTCCTTTTAAGATTAAAAATAGTGTGTCCATTTCGGCAGTTTCCAAAATTTTGTTTGCAAGTTCTTCTCTTAAGGGTCAATCCTCAAAGAAATCAACCCTGACTGTTCCCTGGAAGGCCAGATAATGAAACTGAAGCTCAAATACTTTGGCCACCCAATGAGAAGGGAGCACTCACTGGAGAAGACCCTGATGCTGGGAAGGATTGAAGGTCAAAGAAGACGGGGACGGCAAAGGATGAGATGGTTAGACAGTGTCATAGATGCAACGAACATAAAGTTGAGCAAACTTCAGAGGACGGCGGAAGACCGGAAGGCCTGGCGTGATCTGGTCCATGGGGTCGCGAAGAGTCGGACTCAACTGTGCGACTGAACAACAACAACAACGCTTAAGGGTACTGGGGCTGAGGGATCCCCCCACCCCAAGAAGACCCTTCCTGCAGCTGCTCAGCTGGATGGTGGGAGAAAAAATAATGGGGGAAAGGAGGAGACAAGAGACATCATCTCGAGGTACTGACATCACCTCCTGTGCAACCATAAGAGACATCAGTGCATTGCTGGCGCTATCGAGCATCTCCAGCAATGCATTGGCATCTTTTCCAGTCACGCTGGAAGTGACATCAGCACATCCCCGGTGACATCATTACGTCAACAGCGAGGTCCTCCCACCCCTTGAGTGTCCCACTGGTTGCTGGCAACTGACAGGAGGTGGGGGGGACACACAGGGGGCATGGCATGACGTCACTTGCAGGAAAACCTGGAAGTGAGATCAGGGAGCTCTAGGAATGGGGTAGCGCTAGGTAAAACCAGAGAGTTTCTGGTGATTCCTAGAGTTACCTAAGTATCCGGAAGTGATGTCACAGAGTGCACTATGCCAACTTTAAAAAAAATTATCCTGCTGCCACTCAGACTGGCAGTGGGCGAGGTGGTGCGAGGCCCTCCACCACAGAGGGAGTTGTGGCAATGCTAGCTAGAACAATAGCATCCATAGCACATTTGGCAATGCCAGTTAGGCACCGGATCTTATTGACGGGGGCAGTTAGTAGTCCAGCCTCAGGGGAAAGGCCGTGGGAGAGCCTTAAACTGGCAACATTCACTCTTAGCAACTGTAAAACAAGCTACAGAGTTGTTGGGCTGTTAAATTCAGTTCCCTGTTGCTGTCAGGCCCCCCCCCCCCCCAAAAAAAACACCATGCTTGAAATAGCTTTTCATCACCTCCTCTTCACTGGAGAAAGAGCCCTACCTTTCCCGAATGGACTTCTGCTCGTAGGAAGCTCAGGCATTCGGAGTAATTAGACCATGTTCGGTTTAAACTTGGCACAAAGACCCAAGTTCCATTCGAACTGCAGTGTCTGAAGGCCATACCTGCAAGGCAGAATGACTCCCATTAGACCGAGTCTCCACTGTGGCCAGGGCTGCCAACCTCCAGGGAGTGCCTGGAGACCTCCCACTATTACAATTGATTTCCAGATGACTGAGATCGGTTCCTCTGGATCAAATGGCCGCTTTGGAGGGTGGACTCTATGCCATTACACCCAGCTGAGGTCCCTCCCATCCTCACAACCCTGCCCTCCCCAGGCTCCACCCACCCCCCCAAAAAATCTCCAGGTAGTTCCCAACCCAGAGCTGGCAACCCTAGATAACACGCTTGTGTCTAGACTACGGCCATGTGGGAATTCACACGATGGAACTCGAGCCATCAAGAATAGTTTTCTGTCTCACGTTGGTCAGGCATCTCAGATCGTTGTTATGTGCTGGACGAGAATCAAATATCTCTTCTCTGCTCCCATTGAACAAATTGTGACTATTCCTTTTCATGGTATATTGAAGGTTCTAATGCTGATTTATATCTGCTAAGATGAGTGCGATATTTCGATCTGTATTCGTATCTATTTTTCGCCGAACTTCGTTGATTGCACTCTGTTCTATTGTCAGTTTGTAATATTGTTATATTGTTCGATAGAATTTAAAGAAAGGGGGGGGGAGTTTTCTGCCATTTGGCGAGGACAGAATCCTATCTGCTAGTTTTCAATGGGAAAGGACGACAAAAATGTATAGAAGAATGTTTCGTCACGTGAGGTTTCCAAGCCCAGGTTTACTACCTCAGCGAGGGTCAACCCACATGTTGCCAACATTTGAACTCCAAGCACGTCTTTTGGCTCTAAGGAGCAACCATGTGTCGTGTGTACGGGGTGTGTGTGTGTCAGTGAGATGGTACCAGAAGGAGGGGGGGTAGCTCTTCTCTATTCTGTTTCCCAGGCATCACTGTCTGAAAATGCCTCTTCCCACTAGCTGCCTTCAACCCTAGTGGAGAAAAAAGACAGCACACACATTAAGCTTCCCCCCCCCCCCCCCAACCCCGGGCCAAAATCCC